AAATTCCAGAGTCTTTAGTGATTGAAAATCAAATTTTGAGGTCACTTGTTGGAGTTCTATTTTCGTATGTGTAGAAGCCTAGACGGTGAGTGAAGGAAAACCGCAAAATAAAAACAACTGTAATACTAACTAGCTAACAGAATTGAGGGGTTTTATAGCTATGTAGGAGCATAGGAAAAATTCTACTTTATTGCAATAAAATGTTTGATAAAATTTATAGCTGTTTAGTTAAAAACCTGTGTACTTTAATTACAACCAAATGCGTATTATTTACAAAACTCGTCAAATCACTTTTCCATTTACTTAACACGTTCCATTTCTCTTCTCTTTTTTATCGAATACAGAACCGAATTTCGTTGGCTCCTTCGACGTTGACGAATATGTGTACTTCTTTTTCCGTGAACATGCCGTCGAGTATATTAATTGCGGCAAAGCTATCTATTCGCGTATAGCACGCGTCTGCAAGAATGATCGTGGCGGCAAATATATGATCAGCCAAAATTGGGCGACCTACCTGAAGGCGCGCATCAATTGCAGCATCTCGAGCGAATTCCCATTTTACTTCAATGAAATACAATCGGTCTATAAAATGCCAACAGATGACACCAAATTCTATGCTACCTTCACGACGAACACACATGGCATTGTCGGTTCGGCGGTATGTAGCTACGACATACGCGACATCAATGCAGCCTTCGAAGGTGAGTAGAATTGCAAATGCGAGATGTACATATATATGTATGTGCCTATGTGCATAGATAAGTGTGGGTGGCTAAAATTCTAAATTGTGGCAAAGTGCGCGGAGTAGAAAGGGGCGTACGAGGTGTCTGCTGCCGGTAGCAATCTTTCGTTTTTTCGCATATCTCTGAAATTTTTTTGTTATCTTTTTTAGAATTTCTTTTCTTGTTTTTTTTTTTTGCGCTCGCATAGATTTATTGCACCGGCAATTATTCTTGCCTTTCCAGTGCGCTTGAATTGGCAGCATCGGCGTGTTGTTCGCTGAAGCGTCTGTATGTGTTGATATGTACATATCGATTTGGGGGTATGAGCGCTACAAAAACATACATATGTACATATGTATTTGTCTGTCGCGCTGCCGTGGGGCTCAAGCACCTATGCATACATACTGCATACATATGTAAGTTAAATGCATAGGTGATTTTATGCTTTAGTGTATGTAAGCATATACATACATACATACGAAGCCCTTACATACATATATCAGACGGAAATTGCATTAGGAAAATTGATAGGATTCCTAACCGAATTAAAAAGGAATTTGAGATAAATTTCAAATATGTGCAAACGAAATTTTTGTTGAAATTAAAAATCAACTTTCAGTCAGTGAAAAATGGAACTTAAGATTTTTTACGTTAATAACGCAAATTTAAATTTAAAGCGGGAACAATGCGTATATCTATCATTTCATTAAATTTATACTTATCTTCATATGCATTAACTATGTATAATGTACATTAGACTGCAACACCCCCCATACAAAAAATCAGCACTCCATTGGAATTATAAAATCTATGTATTATATTTTAAGACTTGCACCGAAAATTTCGGAAAAATTTTAAGATTTACGTGACCTGGTGGCCAATTCTGGTGCTATGAGACTGTGAAGTGAAAATTAAAAAATTCAATGAAAATTTAATTTTTTCACTTTATCGTTTCGTTATATTATTTTAAGCGTTCCCGATCATTAAAGAACTTTTCCGAACTTTTCTTTTCACAGCCATAAAACTTTTTGAAAAAGTTTTCACAGTGAAAAATTTTGACAAATAAATTATTTTGCTTTTGAAAACAGAATCGTGTTTTTATGTCGTGTGATGAAAACTGTTTTCACTTCACGCTTTTACAGAACAGGAATTGGCAGCCTGGGCCGATTTGAAAGTTCCTATAAAAATTTACTTTTTTATGAATAAAAGTAGTTATTTATAATGTTTTATGTAAAAAATCCCCTCAGATGACAAAACAAACTGTTTAAAGCTTCAAAAAATTGCATACAAATATTTACAAAATATACATTACTATGCCATCATTAGTAAGCTTTTATCAAAATGCCAGAAAACAAACCTTTTTTAAAAACTTACATACATACATAGGTATAGATAAAAGTACTGTTATTACTTTTGGTATATCATATAGATACATTTGTATCTATTGGGGTGATAATCCAGGTTTTCCTCAAACCGATTTTCACCGGTTTTTGTAAATCTTTGGCTTTTTTTTTAAATATTCAGCCTTAGCATGAGTTTCATTTTCCCCGAACCGGTTAACTTTTCACTTTTGCTTTCTATGGCTTTACTATGGGCGGATGACAAATTTTTGGGTGAATTTTATTTTTTTTTTCAAGCGAAACTCAGGATAAGGCAGATTTTATTCCATTTACATTGGATCTAGATGCGGGATTTGAAATCAGTCAGTTTATCAATTGAAAAGGGAAAACAAAAACAAAATGAATGTAAACAAACACTGCATGCCTTATATTTTTTAACACATTTTTGGCGCAAAAAATCCATTATTCTTTGATCAAACTAAACACGTGTAAAAGCTACATATCGCTAGCTTAGAGTGAAAAGTTGCTAAGTCCCTATTTGAAAATTGTACAGGAGAGGAAAAAAACTTCTTATAGCCATTTTCTTCAAGTATTTCGCAAAACTTTTAATACAACATTTTGCCTGCTTAAAGCAAAGACAAACTCCATACGAATCAAAGGGATTCGATCTTTATTCAAAGATTTCGTACTATTTTAGCCTTATCGGAATTTTGAGTTGATTTCTTATTTAACGGTATCTCCTTGAGGATTGTGCTTTGGAAAAAGAATCCTCGATAGCTGTTGTAGACCTCTGGGCGAGACTATGATTGGTCTTGGAAAAATCTATATACCATATCTGAATAACCTTCAAGGGATTATGTAGAAAAGTCCTCAAGATCATGCTAACGACTTATGTAATTTATTTTCGGAATTTCCTTTTTATTCATTCATAGCTTCTATATGCAGTTAGGGTTAAGTCTTTGTGTTCGTCTAAACAAGAGGTCCAAATATTACAATCGAATAATTTCCATCTTCCTGATTGTTTGATCCATGAGAACTATTTACTAATTTTTAATGAAATTCTGGCCAAACCGAGAAGCTATTATTTAAAGAAAATCTTTGCTGAAAATGTTTTACGAGTATACCCGTACTAAGGAAAGTAGCGCCTAATATTTTTTAATTGATATTTTTTGGTTGTAAATCCAATCAAAAATGCGGTTACTTTTAAATATTTTTATATGTATATTCGTTAAAGTTAAATTCTTTTGCCATGTACAAATACTTTTTCACAGCTGTTTTTGTGATTTTTTATTTTTTGCAAGCAAATTCCATGCTCCATTGGTGAACGTGTCAAAATTGGGTTTATTTGCAATCGAAATGTAAATAGCTGTGCTGCAAAAATTTCAGTAAATAGCCAATTTCTCGCATTCCACATACAGCCAATGCAAAATTCATATTTCAATTTTGCATATTTACCAGAAGCAGAAGCAGAAAAATGCATGCACGAAAATTATTATCTCATAACTGCAACGCATCATCAAAGTAGGACAGTTGCAGTTGCAAGAATTTACATATTGCCATATACAGTTAGCAGAGCAGAGAATAACAAGCGTCTCCCCGCCGCACCAGCGCCCTGCCCTCTTCGTCGAGAAAAGGTGCCCTGAAAAAAAGCTGCATTGCGGTCTGTGGCTTGTTTTATTGCCAATTTAAATATTTTAAATGCAAAACGAGATTTTCCAAATGCTTTACTTGGCAAAAGTATTGCAAATTTCCCTTTTTTTTTGCTCAAATAAATTTATGTACTGTGAAAAGTTTCATTTAGATTTTTTCGAGAACTCACTTTTTACCGACAAACAAACATATGGACGTACATATGTATGTATGTGCATACGTGTGAGCATAAATAAACAAAAAAACACAACTTGTTTGCATATTTTTGATGCTCTCCATTTTTCTGTGCCATTGCTGTTCACGTTCTAGCTTTTTTGTGAGTGCTGCCAAATATTTTGTAGCCTGCAATCGGAAACGGCAAATAGCATGTAAAAAGCGCTGACATTGTCACCGTTCGTTGAAACGCAAAGCGAGAAGCTCGTTACAAGCTGGCTGTTGTTGTGTTGTTCTTGTTGTTGGCGCACACGTTGCACATTCATTTTTCGCATTCACTGAGCATTTGCATTCACGTGACTTAATGTGCGTGACAGACACGCCGCAAACAGCCAGCGGCTACCGGCTACCGGCTAGCGGGACATGCAAAGCAGAGTGAGGGTGAGATAATAAAACTGCGTGTAGGTAAGGGACCCGAAGCGGCAGGTTGGCACTGACTAAACACAATTTTTTTTTTACAAAGCAGTTTGATGTGGTGCAAAAAAAACGCAATGCAAGTGCCTAAACATGAATGTGAAAACAACAACACCAACCATAGTCATGTGTGCAACAGCAATACAAAATGTGAAAAATGTGCATTTTTCCTTTCGCATTTCCTTCCTATTTCCATTTTCTACTCATTCAATGGCTCGGTGCGGCTTCAAAACACCTTCAAATGTTTTCTAATGTGTCAGCACGTGGGGAGGACCACTTACACATCAAGAAACATACATATATGTATGTTCACTAGGGTGGTCCAAAAATGCATGTGAAAAATTATAGCCGGAATTTTAATGTTTTCACCTCCTACGATCGTTCTATATTAAAAAAAAAGTATTATTGAAATCAAAATATATTTAGAGGTCGCTCAAAGCGCTAAAAGTTTTCCACGTATTTTATATGAAAAAAAAAACACTTTTCGTCGAAATATTACAGAATTCTTAAAAATCAATATTTTGCGATCGGAAAACTTTGTTTCAAGCCTAATAATTATACCCAATTGTTTATTTAATCATTTATTCATAGTAACTATATTTTATAGGTCCACCAAAAACCCAGAAAAATGTAATGGGGGGGGGCCAATAAAAAATCGTTAGCTTTGAAAAATTGTTAAATAAACAACTGGTTATTGTTATTGAAAGAATTTTATACAATTTCTACGAAAAGTATATTTTTTCCCATATAATTAAATGGACAACTTTCAGCGCTTTGAGCGACCTCTAAATATTTTTTGGTATATTTTATCGCTAGAGAACAATCCTTGGGGGTGAGAGCATTAATATTCCGACTTTACTTCTTTTGCACCACCACCCTAATATTCACGGTATGCACATGTGTAAATGTCAATTGCAGCGGTTTGTAGTTTAGAAATCTTACAACATCCGCTGCAATGCCAACGCATCATAAAATATTTTTTATTTCCCTCTCTCTCGGCTCTTTCTGCTTGTCAACACGTTTGTGCCGATGCTCGTTAATGCAACAACAACAAAAATAACTTAAGTAACGAACACGTATGCGCCCAATCATTTGCGTGGTTTCTGCTCGGCGCATGTCGCAATGAATAACGCATTAATTTTTGCACACACTTGCAGAACTCATTTCCGTTTCCGTTTCTTTTACATATACTTTTCCTGTTTCGCTTGCTTCTAATTCCGTCCTGCAGTATGCTATTTCTAAACACATGGTGCTGTGTTTCGATAGCAATGAAAATGTGAATAAATAACTACAAAAGTTTTCAAAGCAATATTTCAAGAATATTAAGGTGCCATATTGTTTTAATTTGTTATTCGCCAAAAATCCCAATAAATTACCATTGACTATCTGTTATTGGCCATCGATTATAAATTATAGATTATTGACTATTGACTTTTGACTTTTGGCCATTGAGTATTGACTGTGGGCTATTGACTTTTGACTGCTAAACAACCACCATTAACTATTTTTTACTGACTATTGACCCAATAGTCTAGGGTTTCGACTATTAAATATAGCTAAATCGAGTAAAAGGTCTGAAATTTTATGAAAAAACAATTGCTTAGTTTTTATTCATAAGGCCGAATATAAATTGTTCTTATTTTTTATAACTGTTTTTAATGTACATTAAGGGTGGGTAACTCAGCAAATTTATAGGAGTTGACTCAATGACTCCAACTCACTTTAAGGAGTCAGCTCATTCAACTAACTCATTTGACTCTTAGTATGTTACACTCATTCGTATCGTAGACTCGTTTTGAGGCATAGATGCGGTATAGCGGCCGTTGAGATAAAACAAAACTTTAAAGTGGGCGTGGTCAGCTCCTTTCTACTGATTTGAAAGGTGTAATTTTTTTTGTGTGCAAATTAATAGGGCGGTGCTAGGGGGAGGGTAAAGGTGGAATTTTCAATATTTTCAAAAGCTTATATTTCGAAACCTATTGTACCGAATTTCAAAATGTGGATATGGTTGGAAAGGCAATTGATTTGATATGCACATCTTTATATATCTTACATACATACATATTTCGAGAAAAACTAAAAA